TATATATATATATATATATAATATTTTTGTTCATAACCTCTAACCTATGCATAAAAATATGTAGTTCACTTATAAAAAATTACTTTGTTGGAGTCTAAAATTTCTTTTGAAAATACATGCCTCGAGAGTTAGAGCTGAGAGAAGGATGAGAGAGAGAACAAATCGGTTAGAGAATTCATGGTAGAGAAGACCAAAAAAAAAAAACCTTTTTATTCATCTTTTGACTCCCTGTTTATAAGTCATTTGTATAATTATGAAAATGAGGGAACAATTACGGAAACCAACCTTAATACAATTAATGTGAATGTAATGGTCAAGTTGTGTTACAATCTAAACATAATGCAACAACTATCAGTTGGTCGACGAGCTATGTTCGATCGACCGAACTGGTCAGTCGAGTGCCGGTCGCCTCTGTCGAGGTGAAACAATCGGTCAATTCATGTAGGCCGACCAGCCCTATAAGTGACTTCAGATGACGGGAATCACAAGCGAAATCCTCCAATTGGATCTGCCAACATTGTATGTCAGTCAACTCGACCGAGTTGTCGGTCATTAGTTCAGATCATGCTCATTTGCTGCTATCGTTCCTGCTAGTTTGATCTCTTTGAGATTTGTGCTTGCACTTTCGGTGCATACACAATAATAGTAGTGATTATTTTGACATGATGTTTGAAGTCCTGAGTGGCATGTTTGTACATATAGAAATTTTGGTGTTTGATATCCAAAGTAAATAAAAACTTTGTGGTATGGAGAAGACCACCCCATTAGTAGATTATCTATTCACTCAATGAAATATACCTAATATGTTAAAAACTTCATGTAGACCTATTTTAATTAGGATTTAGGTAGATGCTTATCCATAATAAAATTAAAATTAGGAAGATTTACATACATGCTATCTTAGTTATGAAATACCAATTTGTTGGATTGATATATTGAGGACTATATGATCAAATAAAAGGTATAACAAATGATAATAAAATGAAGAATATAACCTATTTATATCCAACTTCTTGCATCAAATGCCGGTAGCTCCTTCCTCGTATAATACGCTGCCACATGAATGAGATGTAATCTTGAAAGCTCATTTGCATTATTTCCTGTACATGCCTGAAACATAAAACATATTTGTGTAATGAATATAAAAGTCATAGTTTAGGTGTTAGATATGTAAATACAGATGAATTAAAATGTAAATTCAAAGAAAAAAAAAAAACTCACCATCTCACAATACATCTTTGAAATCCAACTGTGATTGGGCGTATGAAAGATGGATCCCTTTGTTGATAGAGTAAACCAACCTATAATAGATGTGTCAAATGCACTTCTAACGAGGACTGGGGAGTTAGAAGCTGGATTTAATTGCAAAAATAAATTTAATGGATTTTACAATAATTCACATTCATATGATAGAATTTTGAATAGATAAATCTTTATATTTATTTACAATGCATTAATGGCTTAATTGCATCAAAGTATCTCCAAAAAAAATGTGAATTTTGCTTTAGATTAAGTTAATGCAAGTGGTATGTTTAATGTGGTTTTAGATAATATGAAAGTACCCTAAAGTTAATATAAAGATTTAAATGTGCTATGTATATATGTACATCCCCCTTTATTTTAAGGGGCCATTACATAAATACCGACCAATACATATGTATTTACATATCTAACACCAAGAATTTAATGTCTATATTTGTACCACCAAAGTTTTCATATCATATCAAAAATACCACCATTTTAATTTAAAAAAAATGAAATATACCTCAGTTAAGGTTCAGAGTCTGACGAGCATGTTCATCACGTATTATAACACAAACACAAAAACATACATATTAAATATCATAAAAAGGTATCAAGGAAATCAAAGTAAGAGAAGATAGAAAATCATGATATCATGAGTGAATGGTAGATAGCTCTGGAGAGATAAATTAAAAAGTATAAAAATACACACTCAAAAAAATAGGAAATTAAGATACATCGAGTTACCTCATAATAAGCGCTTAGTTTAATGTTCCCAGTTTGATCAAAACTCAAAGATAACACACAAACAAATATACATTCTAATCACAAGATAACACTTAAGTTGTCTCCCAAGTAGCGCTTGATTTTATAGCCTCGACCTAACATGATCAAATCATTCTTAAGTTTTTTTCCTCCAAAATCTAATTTTATTTAAGTAGCCCTTAATCAATCTCCCGAATTTTTTATTATCCTAAAGAATTTCCTAAGTCATCAAATTTTTATGTGAATTCTTCTCTAAGCCCTTATTCAGAATTTCCTAAAACTTTTAAATCTCAGTTCTACAACACTCTGTTGGTGGATATGTGGGAAATTGAGTCAGACTACAAATCCTGAAAATATTTTCTTGATCTAAATCTCTCATAGTTAGCTTCCCTTTTTGTAAATTAATATTTGTCATTTCATTGATAAGAAAATGTCTAAATAGTATGATTGGGATGTCAATATCTTTCTTCATGTCTAGTATAATAAAATCTATTTGGAAGATAAACTTATTAATGTTAACTAAAACATCATCTATTACCCTATAGGATAGGAAAGAGAATGGTCAACTAATTGCTTGGTCATTGTGGTAGGTTGGGCTTTTCTTAATCAAGTATTTCTAAAGATAGACAATGACATAAGGTTGATACTGACCCTTAAATACCATAAAGCCTTCCAAAAAATACTTCTCTCATAGCACAAAGAATGATGGAACTACCTAGATCCTTAAGTTTTTGTGAAAGTTTTCTCTAAATAATGACATTGCATTATTTTGTTAGGGCCACAATCCCAAAACCACATTTTTTTGCTTCATGAATTTTGTATAACTAAGTATTGTTTTCTAAAGCATTAGCAAAAGGGATGTAAATTGAAAGCTATTTGAACATTTCTAGGAACTGCTGGTCTATTTTGTGCTTTTGGAGTCTCTGAGGCAAAGAGGGTGTTTGTCTATCTTGTCCTTTTTTAATAGGTGAGTCCAATTTTTCTATGTATGGGAAAATTTTTTTACGCAGCCAGCTGCACTCCGGATTCCAGCCATCAACGACTTCTCCACTTCCTCCAGCTGCAGTTCGACACCTCTACAGCGGCCTGACACTTCTCTGGCCTTCGCCGCAGTCGTTTGCCTTGCACCAACACCCCGGAGTTCCTTTTCATCAAGATTGTTTATGTCTTCGTTGTTGTGTCATTTGTTTACAATCATTTCTGCATTTTTGCTTTGTGTCGTTATTTTCCCTTCTTTTGACTCTTCATTATACTCTCATGTAATTAAGTAATAAAATATGTTGTCTTGCATCGTGGTTTGAGTTAACTCCAGTTATATAACATAGCTAGACCAGCCCTAATCCCATCCAAGGGTTTCTAACACCATCCCTTACCCAATCCACCACAACAAGTTTTTTTTCTTTCTTTCGTTTATTTTTTCTTTTCTTCCTTTTTTCCTTCTTTTCTTTTCTTCCACAGGTTCCAAACCGCCAACCATGCTGCCAAGGAAAAATATGTCTGACCCTAGCCGAGAAGAGATATCACGAGAACTCCGCCATCTTCAACAGAGACTTGCAGAACTCGAAGAGTTAACACAAGAGAAGGTTACCTCCGATAGGGATCTAGAGAGTCGAAGGGGAGAAAGAATTGACGATATGAATCCCTTCCAGGGGGAGACCTTCAGTGAAGACGAAAACGGGCCACAACATTTCGGAATACAATATCAGAGGAGACCTAAAGAGGAATATTTTAATCTCCCTTCGAGAAGATATCATTTGGAGGACACAGAGACTTCGACATCAAGATACTCTGCCAAAGTTCGAATGAGGCATGGATACAGATGAATTCATCGAATGACAACAAACAGTTGAGTGGATCTTCGAATACAAAGAGATACCCGAAGAGAGGCAGTCAAATTAGCTGCTATCACATTAAAGAAAGGTGTCTCCTTATGATGGGAGAATGTACAACGACAAAGGAGGTGAGAAGGCCGCAAAAAGATTATCAGGTGAGAGTAGATGAAGAAAATCATGCAGAAAAAATATCTTTCCTCTCGTTACCACCAGGAGAAGTAATTTGAAATTCCACAATCTGCAACAAAGAGACTTTTCAGCAGAGGGGTTCACAACTCAGATCGACTAATTACAGGTGAAATGCGATTTGACAGAGCCAGAAAAAAAATACAATAGTCACATATCTTGGGGGCTTGAAACCTAATATTAGATATGTGGTGCAGCTACAGCCGTACTGGACGCTGCGGGATGTCTAGACACTAGCATTGAAAGTGGAAATGTAGTAGCAGCAAAGTCGACAACTACCGCCAGCCAGACAACCACCCATAGTTAGAGACACTAGCAAGAGCACACCGTAGAAAATTGATTCAAATATGAAAAAAACCACCCATAGTGAGAAGGAGCCGACTATTGTGCCCGCCAGAAAATGCTTCAAATGCTACAGATTTGGACACAAAGCCTCTAGTTGCTCAATGAGCAGAGTTGTAACTTTTATCGAGTAGGGCGCCCTGGAAGAGGTTAGGGAGGAGCAGGAAGCTGAGGAACAAGATGAGGAGCATGAAATTCCACTATATGAGGAAGAAACACTTGTGATTTGACGGATTCTATAGATTGAGGACAGGAGAGATCTGCAGTGGCTTCGCCACAACATTTTTCTACACTTGTTGCACAGTGAACAAAAATGTATGCAGGCTTATCATCGACGGGGATAGCAACAAGAGCGTGCAAATGTTAGAGAAACTGGGATTCACAACTCAGAGGCATTCCCAGCCATATTCACTAAACCGACAATGCTTAGTAGAATTTTCAATAGCGAGTTAGCTGCAGGACTAGGTATCGTGTGATGTGGTCCCCATAGATGTTTCCCACCTTCTGCTAGGAAGACCGTGGCAATTTGACTGGAAGACTCAACATGATGGATTCAGAAACATGTATTCCTTCACCAAGCACGACAAACACCTCATTCTACTTCCTTCGCTAGAGCTCCAGGAAACAGGAGCCCATACCAACAAAATAGTGGGACCGGTATTAGCGACAAACGATTCTCTACCACCATGCGAAAAATTTAGTACCAGGAAATTGAACTGAGATGGATGTACGCTCGCAAGTGCTTTGGGAGACAGTACAATTGACATTGAAACCTAGGCCTTGCCAGAATGGATTAAAGATTAGGAACCAGAAACTTTGACGAACGAGGTCGAAGCTCCCCCAACCCCAACAGACTAGCGCGGGGTTTGTGGGCCGGTCCTCAAGGGCGGGGGGCTGAAGCCCTTTTCCTCTTCTTTTCTTCTTTTCTTACTTTCCTTCCTAGGCTCTTTCAAATTTAAATCCATTCCTAAATTCAGAGATCTAATTTTATTCTCCCTTCTTATTTTAAAAGTCTTTTCTAAAATTTGAAATCTAATTTTATTCTCCTTGTTTTAAATATTTCCTAAAATATGACTAGTCTCTTTATAAATAGGAGATGATAAGCTTGGAGCTAGGGGTCTTATTTTTAATATCTATCTTCAGGTTTTAGCCTTGGTATTTTTCCTTCGATGGTTGTGTCCAAAGTCAAGAAAGTGCTTCAGTTGTCCCTCGTCCGACTTGACCTTGGTATTTTTCCTTCGATGGTTGTGTCCAAAGTTAAGAAAGTGCTTCAGTTGTCCCTCGTCCGACTTGGTGATCATCTCCACGGGTTCGGGTGGTGCTCCGACTATAGCTCGACCACACCGAGATATTTATCTATCCGTCTACCCTCCTTGCTCCTATCCACCACTTCTCAGCCTTACAGCAGACCACAAAACCTCCTCCCCTACCTTCCTACCGGCCGCCACCATCTTTCTACAACTTCCCTGCAGGCCGAAGCCACTTTTGCCCCTTCCTAGCTCTTCCAGCTGCCTCTCGACCATCCTACCCGCTGCTCCTTTTCCTCCTCCAGTCGCTGCACCGCCTCCCTGCAGCTTCCCAACAAGCCACAGTCAGATGCACTCCAAATTCCAGCCATCGACAACTTCTCCACTTCATTCAGCTACAGTTCGACACCTCTACAGCTGCCTGACACATCTTCGACCTTCACCAGCACAATGGAGTTCCTCTTCGTCAAGATTGTTTATGTCTTCATTGTTGTGTCGTTTGTTTACAATCCTTTCTGAATTTTTGCTTTGTGTGGTTATTTTCCATTCTTTTGAGTCTTCATAGTATCTTTATCTAATTTAGTAATAAAATTTGTCTTGCATCGTGGTTTGGGTTAACTTCGGTATAATTATGTGTGCACAACTTACCACTATCTGCTAGCTTTAATTTGTTTCATAAATCTTCTGCATAAATTCTGAAGTGTCTTATTGATACACCTCTTATCCTCTAATCATAAGGAAATGTGTAAAAGTACTAGGGACGTCCCACTTTAAAAAGGTTGTATGAGATAGCCAGTGAAAATTATGAGAGGACCTAAATATCATAAATATATTATGGGATGTGTAATTAAATATGAAAATTATGGGATGTGTAATTAAATATGAAAATTATGGGATGTGTAATTAAATATATATATATTTTTTTTGAAAAAAACCCAATGAAGGAAAATTATGGGATGTGTAATTAAATATATATATATATATTTTGAAAAAAACCCAATGAAGAATATATTAATATGGAAAAGATACAGAAATGTTGTATAAGAGAACCTAAAAGAAAATCTAACTCACACAATACAGCACAGACCAAACCCAAATAAAACAAAGATACATAAAGGTAAAAAACTAAAAAGCCACAAAAGGGTGCAAAAGTACTAGGGACGTCCCACTTTAGTTCTCCCTCTGCCTCTAATCCTTGGAAGTGAGTCCGCTAACAAATTGCTAAGGCGAGTACCATTGCCCGTAGTAACCAACGTATCATCCATCAGATCCTGAGCTCAAGTAGGTCTCCATTTTTCTTCTTCCTCATGAATGTGTAGACTTGGCATTCCTCATCCGATGATTGACTCATCTGATCAGTAGATTCCAAATTTAGTCGGACAGGTGTAGGTTATTGCACATCATGATCCCCATGAGCCTGAGTAACATTAACAGCTTACTCGGCTTGATGAAGCGGTAGTGAAGCAGTAGAAGTATTGTCACTTGTATTATCGGTGATAGGTTCTAGAACAGGTGGAGTCTGAAGAAATCACCCTCTTCGTCACGATAGGAGGTTCCAAAGACAAGGGAGGTACAAATGGGGACTGAATGATTGTCATATTTCCTGCGAGAATAGTGACGTCTTCCAGGGTATCCTTTTCATGATCAATAGTGTCAATAACTTGGAGTGATCAGAAGGAGATGAAATCGCTGTCAGGCGGAGCACTGTGCTTTTTTGGTCTGAGTTGGGGGTGTAGATGGTGGCATTGAGAATTGGAGTGGTCAAACATTCGACAGTTTGAACAATACAAAGGAAAAAACCGACGGAAAATGTTCAATCTCTACATTCTGCCAATATCCATGTTGTTGTGTGCCCAATCAGATTTCCTCAGATGCGGGTGAAGTGATGTCTCTTTCAATAAGTACTTTGACTTCAGATGGACGAGAAAGATTAAAAGTAGGAATTTCTGTTTTGAGTGGCTTACCATAAACTGAGGCAATAGAGAACAACATTTTTTGAGTAAAATAATGAAATTTTAGACCATGAAGGCGAATCCAAATCGGAATAATTGGTGGTTCTGTCTACAGGTCAAAATCCATAAACTATTTTAGAATCTTCATTGCTCTGTTATCAATCCAAATTATCCTTCTAGCAAATAAGCGTGTGTAATCGTCTTCATTATTTAGTCGTATAAGCATGTGTCTTCCATCTAATAGTCCAATTTTTCACTCCCAAAAAAGGCGCATAAGCTCAAATTCCTTACGAATCAGCTCCATTTTGGGATGACAATAAAGAAATTTTCTGACCAAACTCAGTCGATAGGAGAGAGCACGATTTAGGTGTATTTGAAGCGTGGACACCCGCAAGTGCAACAACATAAGATCTGTCCGAAGCCATCCCCAATAGATGAAGGTGCGGCGTAGCAGAGCAGAGAAAAAATTGGACGGAGCGGAAACCTGAAACAGGGAGTGGCGAAGCTCCTGCGATCTCAGCTCGAGGGATAAGTTGGAAGGAGCAGAAACCCATAAGAGGGAAAAGGAGTGGAAACGAAGCCCCTGCGACCTCACAACAAACTAGAAGGAGCGGAAACCCGAAACGAGCGGGAGCGGCGAAGCCCCTGCGATTTCAGCTCGAGCCCGAGGACGAGAGGCGACAACTGGAAGGCGCGGAACGGAGCCCGACGCAGCCGACGCACGAGCAGAGGCGACTCGATTGACGAGCCGATGATGCACGAGCAGCAGACGAGGACACACGTCGACAGCAACGACAACGGCAAGGGAGTTTGATCGACGAAGAGAAGTAGTGAAGTAATAAACAAGGATAACCATGGTGAAACTCTAGCAGAGTGTGAGCGTATAATAACAGATAATAACAAATAATCTACATACTTTTTTCTACACTTCAAGTAGTTGCAATCAAAGAGAAAGGTGTGACAAATGCTTGGAATTTGTTGAGAGATTATTTTATTATTAAGCGAATTGGAACAGTTGTTGGAGCCGCCTTCACATTGTCCAATAGGTTACAAGCTCAATAATTGACATGATTATTATAATCTAGCCGACAAATTAAATTTGAAGTCAGATGAGAACTGCGAGATCTCAAGTTGAGCGAACTTAACTATAAAAGAAAGATTAGCATCCCACCTACCTCCTACACAATCTAAATGAGCTATCAGAAATGAAAAAAAAGGTCATTTACATACATACCACCCAATTCCTATATATTTACATATCCAACACATAAATTTTACTTTTTAAATTTATACCACCCAAAACTTTTATATCCATCAAAAACCATTATTTTATCTTTTAAAAGGTGGCATACACCTTGTCATGCATAGGTAAAATGATATCTGTAAAGATTGAAGTTTAGGTGTTAGAAATGTAGATATATAAGAATTGAGTGGTATGTATGTATAGATTACCAAAAGAAAAAAAAATCAATCTTCTTTCTCCACAATTCCTCCATGAATCTCCAATTTATCAATTATCAATCAATCATTATTTGCTGGTTGAAAGTAATCTTATCATTTTCATGATTGCAGAAAACAGAACTAAAGCTAGTGCAATTATTCGTTTTTATTAGTAATCAGTCACAATCTGCGTAAATCTAAATAGAAACTATCAGGGAAGATGCATACCCCGAACTCTGCATTGATCAGAGATTGAACAAAATCCATTAGTTGAATCTTGGCCCATTTCAAAGAAGCAACAGGATCATCAGTAGAAGGTGGATGTCTCCAAGGAGCACCAAAATGTAATTGTTCTTTTGGAATTTTTCCACTCCGTACATCAGAGGCAAATTTCTGCAAGATAGCTAATGCTGACTCCATGGCAGGATTGACCTCAGTCACCTAATAAAAAGAACAGCTGATTAAATTCTAATAGTCCGGTCCAGCATGGTCAGAAAATAATGGTCTGTCAGCAAAAAGAAAAAAAAAATCAGAAAACAACAAGCATGGTAATAAACAGTTGGGGAAATTTACATATATAACACAAACTTATGTATTTACATATCTAATACCAATTGTTTAATATAGGCACTTGTAACACTTGGGTGTCATAAAACTATGCATGAAAAGGTGTATGTCACTCTTAAAAAGACACTGATGATATTATATTTGATGTGATGTTAAAAATTTGAGTGGTATGCATGTAAAATATGAATGTTGAAGTGTTAGATTTGTAAATTTATAAGAATTGTGTGGTATGTCTGTAAATGCCCCAGAAATTTTCAATACACAGTGGCCAGAGCTGCATCATACAGTAACAAAAAAGAACCACTCGAGGGTAAAATTGCCTATAAAAGAAAAATTTACTCGTTCAGCAGCTATAATGGTCAAACGAAAAATCTAAAGAATAAAAAACATGATAACCACGACATGTCATTAAACAGATTTCCCGTTATTGCAGACAAAAGTAACAATCTGACATAAAGGCAATACCACGACTAATATAATAAAGAAACCGATCACGTATTGGCCATAATGAAGGCTTTAATTCTAATAGCAAAACAGAGAAATCAGAATCACTCTTCCGTAGCATGCCAGGATTTCTGAAATTATAACATGAGAATTTCAGCATCTTATATTTGTCTTCATTTGTTTAAATATCATTTGGCAATTGGTAAAGTAAGGAAGTCAATTGACTTCAAGGTTCGAATATAAACAAAAATAAATAAATAAATATTATTTAAATTTAAAAAAAACTAGTAACAATGACTGAAGATGACAGCTAGAGATGGATGTAAAAGAACCTGCGTCAATCCAATTAAATTTGACACCATCGTCATTAAAAAAAGAAATCGGAGCAGATAGCAATAACTCACAATACGTTATATTTGACTCAATTTTGAAAGAAGAAGATGGATATTACTTTTCTTTTCAACTTGGCAAGTAGCTCTTGTTGTCATTGGGACTTGCACTTCTCAGGTAACATGCAAAGCCACCAAAAAGGAATCCCAAACAATTTGGAATTGGGGACTAAAGTATGCAGCCCTTAATTTTTGCTTCAGACTGCCCAAGATGTGTAATGGTGGAATTCACAACTTCAATGCATCGATTCTCAGAGTTGATTTGAAGGAAGACGAGCAACTGGAGTAGAACATGTCACTATGAGATAATTTTGTGAGATTTTGGGATTTCCTTCTTTATTTAAGCACAGGTGTTGTTGGGATTTATGAAGTGGCAAGGTGTGCTCTTAATTTTGTGCACGTGATCATAACATGTTGAACCCAAATAGCATAAATTTTGTTGTCTTGCCTAATGATTCCCTTTTTGCTTTCCTTCTTTTTAGTGACACATCGAAATTGATCCTGGAGGCACTTTTGGTTTAAACTATTCAACAGTCTCATTACAAGGTTAATATCATAAAGTATCTTTAAATAATGGCAGTGAAGTTTAAGATTGAAAATTTTAATGGTTCAAAAGAAGGACTTCTAAAACCAAGATGCATCGTATTTTGTCCAATAAGATTTATGAAAATACTCTGAGAGTGTTTGAAAATTTAAGTAAATATTAGTGAAATAAAAGATAAAGGCTGATGAAAAAGCGCTTATGATTATCCAATGATGTTTGGTGGACAAGGTTTTGAGGGAGCTTAGAATCCAATGACAAATATTTAAGGCTCAAATTAGAACCATTGTTCATGACAAAAGCCACTCCAATTGCTTATGTCAGGTAGAAGATATGTACCTAATTTGAGGGTAAATCTCTACCTTTGGGTGTTTTAAGTGAAAGAGTGCAAATTTTTTTTTCCATTTGAGAAATATGACATCCTTAAGGTTTATGTAGATTGTTGGTTGTTATAAGAGTCAAAATCATAAGAAATGGAGAAAAATCTTTGTAGTAGGGTTCATATTCAAAGAATGTCTAAGTAATTCCTTTGCTTGCAAAGAAGCATCATATTTTAGCGAATCATAAAGAAATTAGGGTTTTAACAAGTAGAATCAATGACTGAAATGGTTTGCTTTAGTGAGGCAATGCATAAGTGACACTGTTATATGGTTCCTAGGCAGTTTGATAAAGCACAAACGGTGTTGGAAAATTTATAGGATTGATTAGGTGAGTGGCAAGGATAGATGGCAGCTGAAAACGGCGTGAATGGTGACGGGACATTAAACTTTCTCTCGGAGTCAAGAAATAAACTTTTGCCATCTTTTGCTCTCACACAATTGGGATGAAAATAACTTTTCTACTCTAGGTTGGGATGTGAGATCTACAAGTGCGGATTGATGCAATCCATCCCTCTATTGCCCTCGCAACTGCTCTCGCAGGATCAATACAAAAGCTGAGTGTTGCGGTTGAGTCTGGTCCTGCAACTATGCTCACATAATTGAGATGAAAATTATGGCTACAACTACGGTTGCTCTTGCTGATCTTACACAAACAAAAAAAGATGAGAAGAATGTAATGTGGTTGAGCCTAACGTCCCTTCGTGAATATTCAAGATTAAGATTATTTTAATATAGCATAGAGTAGTATAATTTCATAACATGATGTATTTTTGATAGACATTGCCTCAGCTAGTTCGAGCATAAAGCCTGGAAGCGTAAGCCTTAGATGAAGAAGGTGTAAGTCTCATTAGAGCCCTTGGCTTAAGGTTCGAAGCTTTTTTAGAAAGCAGCAGTTTGATGTGTGACTTGAGCCATGCTCCAAGAATTTTTTAATCCATGGAAGAGATAGTTTCAAAGTTGGAAAAACAATTCTAGAAAAAATTCAGTAGCACGAGATGGGCACTCGGGGTATAAAAATTCAATGATGGGTGGTGTACATTTTATTCAAAAGTACAACATTTGCATCAAATAAGGGTCTGTTTGGGGCAGCTGTTGATTATTTATAATCTGCTGATAAGCAGATTACTATGATAATCTGATAATCCGAAGATTATCAGAATAAGCTGGCTTGTTGTTTGAGACAACTTATTCAAAATAGATTATCAGAATAAGCTGGCTTGTTGTTTGAGGCAACTTATTCAAAATAGTTTACTGGGAGTTGTTGTTGGATAAATGACCATTCTGCCCTTGTTCGGTTAAAGCTGTTTGCAACAGAACTAAAATGAGAACAGAAGTATATAATACAAAACCCAGAAATCATCACATATTAGTTCAAAAGATAATATACAGTGCTCACACTCTCGTGAGTATTTAAAAAAACAAAAAAAATTAATTGTCAGGTTCTGAAAAAACAAACAAAAAAAGACGTGCAGATGAAAATAAAAGACTTGGCGGATCAGCTTCCACAGATAGCATCTGCGATTGACTTCCTCAAAGCAGTCATATCAGCCACACCCTCAGCGTCATGAACCCCAGATTCGCTAGAGTCAATCTAATCCTCATGGACTGAGGCCCAACCACAAATGCTGATGGTTCTTCAAAAACATTCAGTTCATTGTTACCAGCCATAGTAAAGTTTGTACCTGAACGTGAAGGATGTCGTCGGATGAAGTTATGAAGTGTCATTGTTGCGACCACAATATGCACATGATTTTGAAATAGACACGACGACATATCATGTAAGAAGACTCATTTCTTCTTTCAAACCCCAAACGTTCTTTCAATTACCCCGCGTAAAGAGGAGTGATGTTTGTTAAACATTTTTTTCCTGTCACGGATGGTGACGCTTGCTCAAAATCAGGAATATAGTATCTAGTGTATGGATGTACTTCAGATAGTTCCAACATCAACCAAATAGTATTTTCTTATTATGGAAGATATTATTATTTGCAATAAATACCTATAACTTGTACTTTTATAAATCAAAACATACCTGAAGGCGGATGAGGAAAACCTTGCGATCTATTCCTCATTGCATAGGAGAGAATCCGACTGTCATGTGCACTCTCTTCTCAGCCCGCCATGACAAAAGTGAAACAAATGTTGAAGCCACATACCGCCAAAACATTTTGAGTAGTTGAACCACTACGACAAATGTACGTTACCTTGTCCCGACTAGGTAGTCGGGCATCGACGTGAGTACTGTCAATTGCACATATGCAGTTTTGTTTTACAACATTAGAAAAAAACATAAATTTGGAAGTAACATAAATAAACCAATAGTTACCTTCAAATAAGGCGTGTAACGGGAATCGTTGGCAATTTCCCCTAGAGTACTAGCAAATGATAGATCATCTGGTTTAACTATTTGAGTCGTCAAACGAACAAATGTATGTATGCCAAGCTAACAAGTGGTTGTACGCCTTTAACGATTTGGCATTGTCTGTGACACCGTAACGGAGGAGGGGGTTAAGTGGGTTTATTAAAAAAATTAATGTAAATCAAAATAAAAGTATGAAAGTGAGTTTATTACCTCCAAATTCTCAGCCAACCATTCCTCCAGTGCATCGATTGTCCGTTTAATGAGATCTCAACCCAAACCGGTATATCCACGTTTGAGCTCCTTCCAAATTTTTCATTCCTTATTCAATTGGTCTCATTTGTTTTTGATTTTTTTTTCTGTCGTAATCCCTGCTAGTCAATTCTTTAAACCACTTCGCAATATTTTGTCAATCTTCCTTATTAAAATACGTTGTTGGCCTATTTCTAAGTTTTATTTCTTTAATAAATAGATCGCAAAAAATATTTGTTACTTCTTTATCACATATAGCAGACGGACCCCTTCATTCGCCTCGAACATGTTGGCATTATAAAGAACTTAAAATATAAGTACCAAGTAAATAATGTAAGTCAACAAAAAAATTTATAAACATGATGCAAATTTCTCCGCATACAAACTATAGGAGAAAATTGTATTAAATTATGAGATAAAGAAACAAATCAAATTTATAAGCATGATACCAACTTCTTCCACATTACTTCTACGGCAATCATTAATTTACTTCCACAACCATCATCAATTTAAAACAATGGAACGAGAACCTTAACAAAAAACAGTGAGACAGGTACAACTGCAGCATGAAAGTGCTCTTTTACCAGTGCGTTATACTCGAAAATAACCAATGAATACAATTCACCAGCATACTACAAAATCTCATCAATATAGACATAGAAACTCATAAGTTTCATGCAATGAATTTTCCCTGTTAATGTTCGAACATTGATAAAGCAAATATCGTGCTTGAACCTCCATAATGTAAACATTCCTGTGCAAACTAATGAAAACAATTTCATAAATTTAGGCACAGCTGCTAGAAGCGGAACCCTCATGCCACAGATCCCAAGAACCCTCATATATCGCAACAAAAATTAAAAAAATTGTATTACTTCCATCTCCACCTCCCAAAAAAATCAGCACAAATGATAGAAATTAGCTTGCTTGGAACTCCACCTCCGAAATAAAGATGCAGAAAAATCGGAGTAACCCCCCTCAAGCCACAAATCCAAACCAAACTAGGATATACCCAAAAACCATTCATTCATATATCACACCAAAAGTTAAAAAATATATATTGCTTGCATCTCCAACTCACAAAAAACCAACAGAAAAGAGAACTTTCCAAGGATTGCAGGGGAAAACATATGTTATGAATCAGAAAGGAAAATCGAAAATGTTAGGGCTCGCAGGAAGGAAGGAGAGGGATATCAGGTATACTTTGCACCAATCTCAATCAAAGCAAAGGAGCATAGGAGGATCAGCGAGCCGAGGGAGATCTGCGAGGCGAGAGAGAGGCGAGGGAGATCGGCGATTCTCCTGAGCGACGATCTCCTGGAAAGCGCGAGCAGAGGAGATCGATTCTCCTGGAAAGGGCCAGCTGAGGGAGATATGCGAAGCGAGGCGAAGGAGCAGAGGAGATCTGCGATTCTCCAAGGGCAAGGGCAAGCGAGATCTCCAAAGGGGCACCACAGGAATTCCTTCCCTAATCGCAAATTTCATACGCGGGACGCGGGAGGAATCCAACTTGTGAAGCGATGAAGTAAATCGCGATAATAAAACGCCGCAACACCAAAAATTTACATCGATCGCGATATTCAAATGGGAAGGCGGCGTTTTCATAACGCCGCCACACCATATAAGCTGCCCCAAACAGGCTCCACTACTAATGTCGTCGTTGTTTTGTGTTACTGCGAACAACCGACTCCATTACTCACGTCACGTAAGCTTCACAACATTGGGAGACAGTTCTATGGTTGTCGCAAGGGTGTTTCAGCTCGTTGCGGTTTCTTCCGATGGACCTACAATCCAACATATTAAACTGCCAGCAGTGATGGGAATCCGATGATTTTCCATGTTGATAGTGCGGCTGAGGACGAACATAGTCGGAGTTTGAAATTGAATATTTTAATATATCTCATTGTAGCTGTACTTGTATTTATTCTTTTTATTTGTTCTGATACTCATGAGAGTGTGAGCACTGTACGTCATCTTGTTGAACTGATATGTGATGATACCATAACTTTGTATTATATACTTCCTTGCTTATGTTCGTTTAGTTGCAAACAATTTCACTTGTAATTGTATTTCTCTTTATTTTAGTTTCCCCATACAGTTCTGTTGCAAAACATCTTTATCAAACAAAGACATAATGATCATTTATCCAATAGCTGCCAGTAAATTGTTCTGAATAAGGGCCCGTTTGGGGCAGCTTATAAGTGTGGGTCGCCGTACAGTTTAATTCGCACGTTTCGCCAGCTTATCAAAAACTGTGTTTGGGTTTTTACACTAAACACAGGCCGAGGGTCAAACCCCGCGGCCCGCTCGCGGGCCGCGTTTCAGAATAAGCAGCTTATCCAGAAACACACAAGCGACCCCAAACGCACCCTACGTTTCCTCAAACAGCAAGCCAGCTTATTCTGAATAATCTGTTTATCAGCAGATTATAAATAATCAACAGCTGTCCCAAACAGACCCTTATATTCTTCTCTTCCATTTTAAATCAATTGCAAACAGCTTAACCAAACAGAGACAGAATGGTCATCTATCCAACAAAAGCTCCCAGTAAGCTATTCTGAAAAGCTATTCTGAATAAGCTGAACAGCAAGCCAGCTTATTCTGATAATCTGCAGATTATCAAATTATCAGAATAATCTGCTTATCAGCAGATTATAAATAATCAACAGCTGCCCCAAACAGACCCTTAGAATTAACCTTCATTATTCATAATATCTATGTATTTTGTATGATGGCTTTTTATAATCGAAATATTTTTTCATTTTGCTTTCATTGCAAAATGCAATTATAGGAATAATTAATACGAAACATGAACTGTAAAATAGCTAAGCAAATTGATATAAATATCTTGATTAAAAAAATAATGAAAAAGAATCTTTAAATAATAGATTAAAATAAAACCAGATTTGTTGGATTGGGCATTTATTAGGGAGCCAATAATGCCTACGAGAAAAACTTATTATTAAAGAATTTGAAAGAAAAATAAAAAACAAATAAATAGTCAAATAAATAAAAGTTGTGCGAAAAAGTTGATATAATTAGAATTAATTTTTCATCCTAAACTCAACCGAAACCAATAAAGAACAAAAATTCATAAAATGAAACCCAAGAAATAAAACATATTAAATGAAATAACCACTTCATGTGGGACTTTCACGTAGCGAATTATGGCACTAGGCCACGGTATCACAAATGCTTATACAAGGAGATGGTCACTTCAAGGGTATGCAAATTCCATAAGTAGTACAATTTTGTAGTACAACATTTGCATCACAAAAGTCTCTTATAGATGTCAGTTCAATGATATCTTGTCTTAACATAACTATTTGAATTTGAGAACTAGCTATACATTAAAGCAAAATTTGAAACAAATCCTTTAAAAAGTAAACTTGCTAACACTTATCACGCCTTCTAAATTACTTTTTAAATTAATTTGAATGTTTTGTATCCCCATTCAGTAGCATTGAGTCTGGTTTACTATAGAATTAATCTTGTTATAGATAGGGATGTTATTAGTACAATTCAAGTTGGATGGCTGAAACGGAGGAATGCATTAGGCCTATTGTGTGATAAAAAAATATTATTTAGATTTAAAGAAAATTTAATAACATGGAAGTAAGACCTGCAATGCTTTACGGCGCCAAAAGTTGGTCTGTAAATAAGAAGCATAAAATTAAGTTAAAATGTGAACTGAATATATCTTTGAAAGAGTTGAAGTAGCTCCAGTGGTAGACAAGATTGGAAAGAGCCGCCTTAGATGTGTTGGTCACATTCAACGTTGACCATCTGATGGCCAAGTTAGAAGAGTAGATGGTTTAGAATTGGCTTATATTAAGAAATGTAGAGGTAGACCTAAAAACACTCAGTCATGTTGTATAAAAAATGATCTTAATTTTTTAGAATTAAATGAAAATATAACAATAGGACACGATAGAAAAAAAATCATTTTGGCTTGTTGTTGTTGTTATTATTGTATTCATGACCTCTCTGTATCATGCATGATGGCTTCTTACAATAGAAATATTTGGGCATTTTTCTTTTATTGTAACATGCATTCACTGTATTAAGTAATATGAAACATGAAATGTAAAATAGTTAAGCTAATTGATACGAAAACTTAATTAAATAAATACTGAAGAAAAGTATATTTAAACAATAAACTAAAATTAAACTAGATTTGACGATACTAGGGAGCAAATAATAAATCCTTGAGAAAGATTAAACATAATTAAATAATAAGGAAAATAAAAAACAAATCAAATGTCACATAAATAAAAATTATGCAAAAATTTAGTAATAATTAGAATCAAAGTTTCATCATAAACTTAATTGAAACATATAAGGATTAAAAATCATAAAGTGAAACCCAAATAGTTCAGATAATGCTAATGATAAATGAAATAACCGTAATTTGGGACTTTCATGCAGTCCATTATGGCACTAAGTCATAGCATCACAACATTTATACAAGGAGATGGTCACTTCAGCGCTATAAAAATTCAAGGATATGTGCTGCACATTCCATTCAACGGTCCAACTGAAAGAACATTTGCATTATAAAAGTCTCACTTAGACGTTAGTTCAAGTGACATCTAGCCCTAACAAAACTTCTTGGATTTCAGAAGTAGCTATATGTTAATGCAAAATTTGAAACAAATCATTTAAACAGTGAACTTGCTTACATTTGTCATGCCTTTTAAATTTCTTCATAAAATTATTTTATTATTTTATATCCACCTAAAATAACCCTATACAATAGCATGTTGAGTCTGGGTTTTCGTAGAGTTAACCTTTCTCATTCATGATCTCTCTGCAATCCATAAGATGGCTCCCTAAATATTTATGCATTTTGCTTTTAGGGTAAAATATATTCATAGCATTAATTATATTATGAAATACGAAATTTAACATAGCTAAGCTAATTGATATAAAGATCTTGATTAAATAAAGACTGAAAAGTATATTTCAAATAATAAAGTAAAATGAAACTTGATCTGATTGATTGGGCATGTACTAGGAAGTCAATAATGCATCTAAAAGAAAGATAAAATTATCATTAAATAATAAGAAAGGAAAAAAGAAGAAAAAATAAAATGTCACATAAATAAAAATCATGTGAAAAGATTATAATAATTAGAAATGATATTTCATCCTTAATCGAAACCAATAAACAATAAGAATATAATTACAATTAAAATTTTATCCTGAAATTAATCTAAACCAATAAAGAATAAAAATCGTAAAGTGAAACCCATATGGTTCAGATAATGCTAATGATGACAAAGAGATAAAACATATTAAACAATATAACTGCACGATATGGGACTTTCAAAAGAAAGATCAAATGTTAATAGTTAATTTCTCACCTGCAAAAAAGCAAGATAAGCATCAACAATATCCTCAAAACTACTTTGATTGTTAACCCTGCAAAAGTCACATAAATTATCAAATAAGCTTTCCGAGAACAAAATTGGAGAAAACTTTGCCAAATAAAATAATTTACTATAAATTGGAAAAGCATAACTAATTAAATGGACAAAATGAATTAAAACGATAGGAATTTTATCATGAATTATCTCAACATTTATATAGAAAAATGATCCCTCATAACTAAGGATAAATTGGTTAAAATAATTTAAACTGAAGTAAAAATATAGAAATTTGTCACGTTGGCGTCTAGCCTAAGGGAAAATTTGTTTTTTAAATGCCTAAAGGCAATTTAGACTTTTATTATTATTGTTGTTGGGTATAATAGGCTGCTTATGTTTAGGGTCAGGTTTTTGCATTAGATTATTGTCGTGAGTCTGAGGTTTAGGGTTGGGGAGAGATTTCTTGCCTCTCCGATTGTAGGAATTGGGAGAGATCGCTTATCTCTCTAGTTGTAGGTGTTTATTTTTGTATTTGTATTTAGTGTTTTGGATTTTGAAGAAAATAATTTGTCTTGCTCTAAATTTTGTGAAAATTTGATGTAGGATCGGTATCAGAAGAGGATTGCAACATACATGCTCTATCCCGCGCACAATGACGATTTGAGAAGTGATCGCGGCGTGCAGGTCATTGTTGCATCACAAAACAACTGCGGTTGGAGTTAACAGGGACGCAATGCAGGATTGTGCTTGACACCATATCACAATACATCCAATTAGAGCTGCTGAGAAGGTCGTGGTGGATTGCTGTAAACAGAGACTAAACATACGGGCGATCGCGACAAATAAAGACCCGAAGCTGCCATCTTTCAGGCTATAGTGAATCGCTACGAATAGATACCTGAAGCTCCCATCTTTTAGGATCACGTCAATCTCAAAAAGAGCTGAGCAAAGAATTGTCAACGAGATTGCGGCTACAATGCCCTAATTAAGTGCTACATTTGCACTTCAACTAGCTGGGATTTAACTAGTTGGGAAGCCTTCATATAACCAAATCTTGTGATGCAGTCGCAATAGGTGCTATCTGGGAAACGCCGACGGGATTGACGTGATCCGGGAACAAGGGGTGTAAACGAGCCGAGCACGAGCGAGCCCAGCCTCAGCTTGTGTTCGGCTCGTTTATATTTCGAGCTCAAAAAGTATGTTCGTGTTGGGCTCGTTTGCTTAGCAAGCCGAACACGAGTTCACGAACAAAGAGTCATTTTGACGACCCTAATCACGTAGCCATAAGATGTTAAGGGTTGGGAAAAGATTTAAAAATTAATTTTTTATATTAAAACATCATTTCAATCTAATTTAATAATTTTTATTCTATTTTCTTAATTAATAATATTGATGGATTAGAAATCATTGTAACCTTGTAGTCAATTAAATTTTTTAAAAATAGTACTCATCAATATAAACATATATAATTGATGTGGAGTATTTCGAGCCAGACACGAACGAACAAATCTTTGTTCGTGTTCGGTTCGTTAACTTAGCGAACGAGTCGAGCACGAGCTTCTTAACGAGCCGAATACGAGTTATTCACGAACAACGAGCCGTTTTGACAGCCCTACCGGGAACACCAACTTGAGGTACATTTACAATAGGAGCTAGCTGAGAAGAGACGACAGGGATTCAGGGTATAAAAAATTGCCTTTGAGATAGAAAGTTTTTCTATATGAGTTAGCAAAAAAGAAAGTAGATGATTTGGAGAATAAATTAGAGGAAGGGATGCGTCGAATCAAATATGGGAAGGAGTAAAGGTTCTACACTATAGAAAGAAAGTTTTTATCCATAGAAAATAGATTTGAAGCATATTTGAGAGCCTGAAAGAAATGATAAGAAAGCTTATTGAGATGCAATCTAAGTCTTCGCCGACAATTTAGTTTGCAAACCCTAACCAAGGATTGACCAAAGATTCATTAGCTAAATCAAAAGAAAAAGAGATTGAACGAGAGAAACACGAGAATGAATATATCCACCATCAAGAACCTCTTCTCAGAGCTCCGATTGTACTTGCATTAGCGATTTCTGATTGAGGCGATCGGGCCGAAACATAAAGACGGGATTATGCAAGAGGTATGAATGAGCACGAAGAAGAAAGAAGAGAAGTCAGAAGGAGCTATGACTATGATTGAAGAAGGTACTTTTACCCTCGATATTTGGAGAAAAATAGCTAAAGGAGAGAAAGTTGGGGTGGGAATGCTAGGGTTAGAAAGCTGAAAATGCCGATCTTCGATGGGTAAGACGCACATGGGTGTGTGTACCGAGTAGAGCGATACTTTGCAATGAATGGGCTAATTGTGAAGGAGAAACTCGTGACGACAAGATTATGTTTGGAGGGGGGAAGCCCTAGGCTAATTTTAGTGGAAGGAGGCTAGATATCCGATCCATTAGTGGGAGAAATTTAAAGATTGTTTGTTGGAACGCTTCGAGGTCATTGGGAAAGAGAACTACAGAAGCAATTTTATGCCTTGAATCAGGAGGAGACTATTATGAAATATAGGAAGAGATTCGAGCAATTGGCGGGATGACTGAGGAAGATTTCTAAAGAAAGATTGGATAAAAATTTCATGAAGGGCTTAAAGCCCGACATAAGGGCATCATCCAACTATTGAGATCGTAGAGATTGAAGAAGGCGATGGAGCTAGCCCAAATAGTAGTGGACAAGAACCATATGGAGCATCTTACCAAATTTATATAACCACGATGATACCAAAAACTTAAATAATGGAACTCCAAGGTAGGCAGCACGAGACATGAATAACGGACCGCGACTAAAAGCAACATGCAAGCGCCTTAGAGATGCAAAGAATCTGGAGAAGCGAGCCAAGGGATTATATTTTCACTATGATGCGAAGTCAACCCAATGCATCGTTGTAAGTATAAAAAATTACAAGTTCTCATTATACATAATAAGGAGGTAGAAGATGAAGAAATAGGAACAGTTGTGGTGGAGGAACACTCATTTTTCCCACCTTAAGGAAAAGTATCTTTTGGGGGAAAACTAATATTACATTGGTGCCTAGCCTAAGTGAAATTTTATCTTTTATACGCCTTGGGGCAATTTTGTCTTTTATACGCCTAGGAGCAATTTTGTCTTTTATTATTATTATTATTATTGTTGGGTCTAAATCGACTCATTATGTTTAAGGTTTGGTCTTATATATGAGATTATTGTGGTAAGTCTTAAATTTAGGGTGGGGGAGAGATTTCTTACCTCTCAAATCATTGAAATTGAGAGAAATCATCTACCTATCGAATTGTAGGTGTTTATTTTCTATTTGTATTGAGTGTTTTAGATTATTGAAGAAAAAAAATCTTACTCTAAATTTTGTGGAAAAGCATGCAGAATTTGATGTTTGATTGTATTAAAATCCTTTCAAAAAATGGTCATGTATCAGACTTCATTACTTTTTTCAAAGAGAAACAGAATTTATTATAAAATTGAGTTATATAGAGTTCATTAAAGGCATAGAGTCATTCAAAAAAGGTCTTCCACATTACCACCAATTTATTACCTCCATAAAAACCCAATAGCATATATTGAAATAACGTTAACTTGCAAGTCCCTATAAATATGCATATATCATAATTTCATTGTTTTTTTAGAGAAATAAGATCCACAAAGAAAATTAAAAGCATAAAGTTCATTATAGGCATGAAATCGGTGAGAAAAGGTTTTCAACATTACCATTTTTTTTACTAGCTCCATATTCCCTCGTTTAAGTGGCCGGTTATGACCTTAGGTAATTACCTTGATATCATTCTATTATATGACAGCATGTATCTTATAAAAATTGTTTACCCTTTTACGTTTGTGGATATAAAAAAATATGTAATATTTTACTTCATATTGTTCAGTAGTGTCCATTCTAGAATGCATTTCCAAAGTTTCCAAATATATATACTCTGAATGCCATCAAAACAGTTTTCTAATAATTTTAAGCCAGTTGCTAGTATTCAGACAAGGAGAAAGTGCTGATTTGGCGACAAAACTACTACAGATATCAAAAAATACAGAGAGAATATTTAGAAAGGCTCACAGCAAAGGAAAGCTACTAGATTACTTACTGTTGATAAGAATCTGTCTGTTTAAGCGCATAAAGCTCTGATAGGTGCCGTGGATTTGGACCAAGAACCTCACCAATCACTTTCCACTATAACTTCAACAAACACTGTGTTAAGAGTTATATTATTATAATTGCTACCATAAAACATCCAAAAACAGAGTTTACTTAAATGATTCTATTGAAACATAACATATTGGAAGAATAGAAATAAGCAGGTTCTCCACACATTACTACCTCAGATTCACTAAATAAATCACAAATCATATGCAGCTTAGCTTGTTCAAGTGTCCAACCAAAGGTCTGCAGATTATCAAACAATTCATGAGCCCATCAAATGAACCAAAAGATGAAGAAAATCAAATAAAATGTCAAAAGCTGAACATAAAAAAAAAAATTAAAATTTAAAAAGAAAATAATTCATGATGCTCACAAATCACTAGAAGCAACGTGCATATTTTTTAGTAATTACCTTACCTCTCGAAAAATGAACATGTCACGAAATCCAAAATCTACAAATGCTTGGTAAGAATAATAGCTGCAAATGTCAACCACATACAACTTTAATCATACAGAGAAACACTAAATCTGCAAAATATGCAGTAATAGGACATTAGGACTACATATCTTGTAGTTAAAAAAATCTTAAAAGCCCATATAGCGTTAATCTAAGTACTGCCTATAAAAAATCTCCTACAAGAGATATAATTACATCACTACAAGAAAAGCGATATCTGTGCAATTAAACATATAATATGCAAAAAGATCGTAGCTATCCACACATTTACATGGTTTAGCATACAAGCTAAATTGTCGTTTATGTGTGTTCAAAAAAATATATATTATGAAGTTTTTAATCTAGTCATATTTATTTATTATTTAATCAGGGTCGTCAGGATCATTGACGACCACCTATTGCACCTCCCTTGCTTTTTCTAACACTTCTTCTCGAAGTGGTAAAGAACCATGGCACAACCACACACACACAGTCTCTCCAAATACGTTATGCCATCATTAACCCAATCTGGAGAAAAGATAGACAGAAGTAGAGAAAGGATAGAGATGCAAGGTCTTGAAACTTTATAAATAAATAAGAGTTTTAGAGGTTTTAGACTAGTGAAACGTGCCCTTAGGCCAGGGGATCTAAACATTGGTGTCATTTAGGGTCTGTTTGGGGCAGCTGCAGCTTATTAAATAATCTGCTGATAAGCTGAGTAAAAATAATCTGCTAATAAGTTAGGTGCGGTAGCTATTACAAATTTTTATTTTTTTGGAAAAGTCAGACCGCGGCCAGAAAGCTGCCACCGCACCTAGACAGGTGCGGTGTGAAAATGTTGTTTTCAACGTTTTGAAAACGCATAAGCTGCCAAAACGCAGTTTACCCAAATAGATCAGTTGTGTTTTCAAAACGCCACCGCACCAAATAAGCTGCCCCAAATGAACCCTTAACCTCAAAAACAACACAAAAGTTCAAGTATGCCTTAATTTGTTGAGGCAACAAACTTAGAAAAAGAAATTAAACATGTAATTTATCAAAAAAAAAATGTAGAAAATAGGTTGAGAACAGTTGGCTTTTAAATCATTTCATTTGCTGCAACTATAATAAGCTTTAAAACAGCTTGAAATTCATTAAAAGAGGTTTATTTAAAGTGGAGTTTTCTAAAAACATTCACGTTTAAATTGTGGATCAGCTAAGCAATATAACTCATCGTATGCATTGATTTTGAAATTGCCATTGACATTATATTTAAAACTGCAATAAGTGGATAGTGTACAGAGCATTTGTTTCGCCTTAAGGTATTCTAAGGAGTGCAAGTATGTTACTATGTTTAAGTTGCAGTAATGCTGGTTAGGGAACGTGAGGTTACAGTTATAATGCCTTTATAATTAACAAGAATACAAGTACATAAGTTTACCACTCCACATAAACATAAGAAGGCTGAGAGCGACCTTCCCCACTCCCATGAAATTGGCGGACCTACCCAACTTCATCTGCATAATGCCACGATCCACTATGCATCATATGAGCAGACACTGACTTATGCTTGTCCTAGTTGGCAAGAATACAAGGATCCAATTTAGCAGCTCTTGTGTCCCTGCACTGGCCCTGATGCACATCCTCCAGCCTATAGGCTCGTGTGAGGAGTCACCTCCTCATCCCCATGTCCTCATCCCCGTCCCCTGATGCACATCCTCCATTCCTTTTAGGACAATGGCCCACAGCATATATTCCTTCTCTGACCTTCACTACCCCAACGTTCAGCAACTTTAATGAAGCTATAGAAACGTTCAGCAAGATGGCCAAATCAGAAATCACGCAAGCCCAGTGTTTCTGCTATAATGTACATCAATGTTGGAAAGCTCACACGCTAAGCTCCATAACAACCCTCACAGCACGCCTAAAACTATTGTGGCTAACATTCTTGAGGCGAATACCGTGGCGCCACTTTTTCAATTTCGGGAGTAATAGGATGCTAGCCTACCTCCTGAGCTGATGCTCTGTACCCTTTTCTGGCATCCCCCCATCCAGGATGGCTCAAAGTGAATGTCAATGGTGCTCTTCTTCCTTCTAGGGTGGCCAACACGGGGTGCATTGTTCGTGATAAGAAAGGAATGGGACTTATTGCCACTGGTTACTACTTTCAACATTGGGATAACAAACAATGGGAGCTTCAAGCCATCACATCCTTCCAGCACATCTTCCAACCCTGGATGCTTGAGTACAAGGGCATCATCATCGAGAATGAAAACATCAACATTATGCACTTTTTAGAATCTGCCATGCTTGCTGCCGAAGACCTATGAAAGTACCCGACGTTGTTTTTCTTTTGAATTTTAGAAAAATTTTGTTTTTTCGTACGCTCTGCAATTGTAATAGGGCCGTACATTTTTGTGTCAAGCGCGCCCTTAGTAGCTCTTTTGTTTTGATGCATACAAATAAAGATAGAAAACTTTCTATCACACTTGTAGATATAGGTCACTTTTTGTACACCATAGATGCATACATGAATAATTTTTGTACTCTTTTAATATATTAATGCAAATACATATTTTCACAGATCAATTATCTCCTTTCCAAAGTTGCAAATTTATTTCACTCATCTCTTTAGCTATTTTGAGCTAGTTATCTTAGATTGTCTTTGTAACAGCCAATTTTTTGGAAATTTGATAAAATTTTTGACAACTTAAAATATACATTCAATTTCACATTCTTCACATTTAAATCGAGATAATTTTATAAAAATTTATGCGTCAAATCGATCAATTTAATATAAAATATTATATATAAATAATGAATGCAATGAGAGATATAAAAATTTGAAGTTATAAGTTTATTTAACCTAATTAAACATAATTAAATCATTAATCTCACATTGGTATTGTTTCTACCGACATACCATTCGATATATGCGTTTAGGGGTTCATCCAGAGCGTTCAATTCCTCTCCCTGGCTCGAGGTTGTGTCATGTGAAGCCCCTCCTGCTTTCAACTTCCCCTCCTGCTCTTCCTCTCTCGCGATTTCAGCACCTGATCATGGCACAACGAGGATCGCACTGTATGCCTTATAACGCATATGAGGCAACCAACCAACACAGAGCCACAGACGGTATTGTGGGGCTCCGGAGTGAAATCGATGAGTATGAAGTCTTATTTCATGATATTTGAGATTTGTCTCGTTTTTCGTGCATTGTTCGTTTTCGGTGGCGGTTGGAGGTGTCAAATTTGTGTCCAAAGTATTTTGCGAGCTTTCGTGAGGATTGTAGAACAAGTTTAGTGAAGGAGAAAGGTAACTTGATGTGTTATGAAGAGAGAAAAAAAGTTTTAGCACTCGGAGAAGTGTTGGGTGGTTGCCGAAAAGCTGTTTAAGATATGCTTTGGTAAATCAATAATATTTTTAGCTAAATCACCTAATAAACTAATATATCTTGAATTTCTAAGTTGTTTAAAATTTCAGATTGTTTACTCGAGGCGGCAAGTTCAAGATAAGAGTGTAAAAAATTGTCATATGATGGCTCTGTAAATTCAGGTAAATAATCTTATGCTAATTTAAAAAGAATAATTTAATTAACAAAAATCACTTGAATCTTAAAGTTTAATATTACATTTTATAGTTTATTAAGCTTAACATAAAAGTCACTGTAACCTTCAGCTAATTGTTGAAGATTAAGATTTTAGCATGACAACTGAGGTAACTACAATTCTAAAATTTTGTGTTCTTTATTTCAAAATGTATGCTTGATTTCATGTGCGCTCTAGCTAAGACTAGTTCAGTGAGATTCTTCACGTTCTTGGATAGGAAACATATGCATAATACGCATAAGATGCATGATATGTATAATAGACATGATTTCCTAGTTAGGCATTATAGGAAACTTGCGTGCATGATAAACATGATAGAAAAAGATATACATGAGATAAAATATATGAATAAGACATAAGATCTGCATGATATCAGAGTTATGTATGATGGATAGTTGCACAACAGAATAAATATGCACGTTAATAGATGCATAAAACATCTCGGAATAATCTATGTTATGAAAAATGATATAGTATATATGTGAATGCTTATATGTTTTTACGAGTATTTTCAACAAAAAATTTCACCCCCTCATGGTATAGGTGGGGGGCGCAACTGTACTTGCGCGCGTAAAATTTTTCTACAATTCGAGACAATTATGATTGTTAGATCATTGACCACTGTGCCAACGGGATAATATCAAGTAAGAGTCAAAAAAAAGTAAATGCATATAGAATTTTTTAATATTTTCATTTAGAAAAGAACAGCGATACATGAATTAACATGTTGTCAATTTTTTTATAAAAATATGAACGACAAAGCATATTATAAAATTTCTTATAGGGAAATGAAAGACCACCACGCATATTGATTTTTTTTCCTTGGAATACTATAGCTTAGAAGTGATTACTTTCAAATTATCTTTAGAACTCATTATGTTACTTTAATATTATTATAGAATTTTAAGCATTTAAACAAGAAGAATAGAAAATGAGGAAATGTACATAGGAGGCGAGTACATCAACACGAAAGCAACAAATTTTTATCTGTTAATTTTAATTGTTTTCTTTAGTGGTTTCTAATATATTTTTAAATATGAACTTGTTAGTTATAGAAATAGAATAGCAGAAACTGATTTTTACTATCTAATCATCTGCTTCCGTCTTAAATAATTTTAAGCATCGAGTTGGGTCGTAAAAAAAGTGATATCAGAGCAAAATTTTAGATTAGATCAGACATTTAGATAAATAACATGAATGTTAATGAAAGAGTCAATATGATAATTGGAATAAATTACAAATAATATTAATTAAAAATTTTAATTGAGTCTAATTAAATTATATTGTTGTTATTTGAGAATTATGAATGACAATGAGAAAGAGGTCAAAGATGAAAATGTAGAATCTATTGTACCCCGGAATGTCACAGTCAGTGCTAGTGCATTCTCTGATATGATGAATATTGTGACTTAATTGATAAGAATTCTCAATCTAAAGCGATTAATAGTAGAGTACCAA